ATGTTTTAACTGCTTAATCAAAAATGTTGGGTGAAATGCCCCCGTCAAAAAGCCCTCTGTCTGACGTTTTAGCTGCACGAGTGTTTTTATGGGTTTTTTTTTATTTTTATTTTTTTTTTTTTTTTTTTCCTCCATGTGTAATGTGAACGCAAGTTGGTTTTACTTAAAACTTCTTCCTGGAGGTCATCCTTTCTGTTAGGCAGGTAGCCGCCGGGCGCATTGTACTATATGTCTCTACTGTGACTGGTGCAGAGCTCCTTCAAACCTTATCCCCTCAGAATCATGTCAAATGGACTCGACCGCTCGTGATGAAGTGTATATAGAATGATTTTTCTCTATAAATTTGTAGAAGGAGATACATTCGGGTTTTTTGAGACAGTATCAATGCGTACCATCTAAAGAAAAATTGAAAACCTTTAATACCACCACTACAAAGTACTAGCACCACAACCACTCTTGAATAGAGCTCAGATCGCATAAATTTACCAGTGTTAGAGAAAAAACTCAATCAGGATTCAATAATTAAAAATGCTTTGCTTCTTTGCGTACTATCTATTTTTCTCTTTCGTACCATCAGTGGTACGCGTACCACCGGCTAAGAACTCCTCATCTAATTTGTGTCTCTGGAGTAGCGCCCTAGATTAAATGTCGAAGTTCTGAACAAGGGTTTCATTTGAACAGATTCCAGTCCCTCTGTTGCTTGAATTGCATGAAACATTTATATATATATATATGTATACATATGTTATAGAGGGAAATGTAGGTATAGATGCTTAAGTATGTGTTTGGTAGGTTCTGGTTGGTTGATTATGCAAATTTGTGCAGGATGCTTATAGTGAAACTCGGAGCTTGAAATGCTGTTAGGAATTATTACATACTAGGGCGTTTTATAATTTTACTTGCCCCCTGCGTTTTTCATTGCTTCAAAATATTTTAATACCACTATCTTTCATTAAGATGCTACTAAAAATCAGAGGTGGGATGAATCCAAAATTTTCTCGAATCTGAATCCCAAAAGATTCTCAGATCCTTCAAGTAAGAAATACAAGTAAAAGAAAAGTATACTAATTTGTTCTACGTTTTTAATGAAGAAAATTTTTTAATTCATTTAAAAGAGAAAAGAAGCTTAAATACGATTTTAAAAAATATGCCTATACTTATTAATAAGATGTAAGCGAAATTCAGCAAAAGAAATTTATAATTAAAAGCTTTAATCTTGAGGTTCATTTTCACAATATTATTTGACAAAATGTGTATGATTAGCGATTCGAAATTGAGCAGCCGTGACTGAGTAGTTCAGCTGGTATGCAACTGAGCCACGTGAGAGGCGCATTATTTATTTAACCTAGCCAAAAAATAAATAAGTAAACTCAGTGCGCGAATTCGCAACAATTCTCCAAGTTTTCTAGACAGCGTACTGAAATACTATGATACTCGACGCCTCGAAAAATTTGAATGGCGAGAAAGATTCGAGATTTCCAATCTCAATCTTTTTTTTTTTTTTTTCAGGATTCGAAATTCCCATTTCTTCGAAAACTAAGCAACTGAGGTTAAACGTTGCGTGTAGCATAAATTTTATTCCGATATAACGTCCACTGTGTTTTGCAGTCTCTCAACAGTGACCAAATTCTAGATAGATTGGCAACAAGTTATCGGTAAGTAACAACTGAAACTTGAGAAGGGTGTAAAAGATCCTTTATTTAAAACTACATCAGAATGAAAGGCACATTTTGTGCTTACAACTCAGCCAACCACCTTCGATGAGATAACTTAAAGTAACAACACTAAGTCAAAAGGAAAATTTAATTTAAATAATCTAGTAGCCAAAGCCTGCCCTGAACAATTAACGCGAAGTTGGCTCTAAACTTAACCGGCATGGATGTTCAGCAATAGGCAATTATTACGCAAGGCGGAAGACTACAAATCTTATATAAGGCAGCAACCTAGTAGCGTGGCCTCGAGAGGCAGAATACACTCTGTTTTCAATCCAAAAGCCTTACCTTAAATACACGCGATCTAATTTGCATTCTATCGGAAAATGGAAGGCAAAAGTGATAGTAAAGATCCAAAACATAAAATAACTGGTTAATTAGATTAAAGGGCCCGTACACAGTTAAATCTTACCTTATGTTAATCATAAGAAGCGTGCAAACTATTATTCTATATTGACGTAAGAAATATATGGCATTCGGAGCATCTTTTATTAATTGCAAGGAGGAATCAAATATTATGAAAATTATTAGATAAGTATATTGTAAATTAATTTCATGAAATGGGTCACAAATTATATTTCTAAGAATGTCAGTAAAATATAAAATAGAGGTACATATTTTTTAAGAAATAATTTTACTAGTTTTAAATCATTTCTTTTTTTAGTCTGCTTATATTTAAACTAGAAAGCTCGGCGGTCATACGAAATGACCGCTGTTCTAGATATTATAAATTGATGATTATAAATTGATTATAAACAGATAATTGCTAATGCAAGCAAATGATCACGTTCCCCCTGACACCCTCAATTTGCGTTCAGTTGTAATCCATTTCAGAAACAGATGATTGCTAATGCAAACAAATGTTTACGTTATGCAAACAATGTTCGTTCCCCCTGACACGCTCATTTGCGTTCAGCTGAATTTCAGTTAAAACACTATGTCGAAATAAATGGGCAAAATTTAAACTCTTTACCGAAGGATATATAGCATAGGAATTTGGGTAAACCTACCTGATGAGATTACTACCACAACCGTTAGTTGGTTTCGCTCCTTTAATTTCTCAAATTTTACAAGTTTCTAGGTAATCCACTGTAATAAGTTAAATCATAATAAGCACAATTGTATGATTAAAAATATTTAAATGTTCTAATACCATGATCTTTAATTAAAACATATAACTGCATGTATGGTATCAGTGTATATGAACTATTTGAATGCCGGGGCAACTTCCCCCGATTGGCTAGTACATTTACGCAAGCAACCAATAAACTATCGGCGACAAACAGACACTTAAACCGCATATAATAAAGTACGCAAGCAACCAGTAAACTATCGCCGACAAACAGACACTTAAGCCGCATATAATAAAGATTTGATAGATAAATAAAAGTCTATATAATGCGATTTGAAATGGCAATGTTGTAATAACAGGTTATTGGTCATACAAACGGAGAGTTAATTTAAATACAGTTAGCCAGATTAACCGAGATAATACTGGAATGACGTCCACTGTCAAACTAAAATTACTAATTCCGAGCGCAGTTATAAAAACACAATGAATAAATAAATAAAATGCATAATATTATTAACAGATAAATGTTAAGAGCAAGTTGCTTGAATTTTAAACAGTTTAATTTTGAGAATGAATTTATTTGATTAATTAAATCAGTATTTGTAACAGAAAGACGTTATTACAAGTAACACTAGAATAATCATTATTAGATATGAGGAAACGAGTTATAAATAAATATGACATCATCTGCTATCACTGCTGCTATTCTATGCACTTTTCCCTTTTTCTTCGTTATTTATTTATTTTTTAAGTTTCTGTGTGCAGTTTTGTTTTCCGCTGACGATCTGAGACAGTAACTTCCCATCCCTCTGCAATATGCAGATTTGGTTTTAAAGAAAATAAAAGAACATTGGGCATGGCTAAATCTAAATTGCATTATAACTTTTTAATTTCGTAGTGGGATGTAACACAGCGTGAGGTAATGTCTCCTAAATGAGGGAGACTCAGTTGTAGACGTTTCTTGGGGTCAAAACATTTTTGATGCATTCATAAAAATAAATTTTGTTTGAGTGAAAAATGCGATACATATAAAAAATAAAATTAAATCGAAAGCAAATTTCGGATAATTAGTTTAATTTGATCATTCATATTCATGATTAAATCTAGCAAGGTGATTATTTTACAGAAAAAGTAATTGTTCAAAAACCTAATAATTTTCCACATTAAATTTTCCTTCTTAAATAGAAAACCTGCAATTACTCGAGGATATTTCTTAAACGTTGAGTACTTAAATTTAGCCCTCAATTCCAAAACCTGAAAATACTATTCGCTTCGAAAAAACGTTTTGATTAATTTCGTAAAAAATCACAGATTTGAAGTTAATATGGATAAATTTTATTTTCGAAGCATATTTAATAGCTAAATATAACTTCTTTAATTATTCGCCTGAATATTTCTGAGAAACTGATTTAATATCTGAAAAGTCTTTAACAGCCCATTTTTCTTTCGCATAATGAATAAAAATATTCGTTATATTTCGTCATGCGACTTTATTCATTTTCCTTCACACAGTCGTTCCCCGAACACAAATTTCAAATACTTAATTTGAATTGCATGTGTTTTGATTAAAGCTTCCTCTGAAAACATCAAACACTAATTAATTAATTAACTAAGATCAAACATCAAGTTGCGTTGCGTAATATGTTAGGAAATCTATCTTTATTATTAGATTCTGTTTCAAAAATGGTGAAATAAATGAATACATAAAATAAACGTTTACTTTTTACATTTTAGCCGTAACAATATTTATATAGCTTAAACACTTCTTTCTGGCAGATATTTCTTCCTCGAATCTATGTTATTTCAAGATAAATAATAATTTTATTCACATTTATTTCAAATCAAAGGGTTGTTAAATCATCTTCAGTACTTTTAACGTAATTTTTGCAAAATATATATATTTTGCAAATATACATACGACAGACAAAAATATATTTTACTTCATGTGGGTAATAATTCAAGCGCCAAAAGATGTTTAAAATGTATGTGAATCACATTGACCTCATTACTTCATTTTTATGTCCTTCCAACTTCTATTTTTATTTATTCTTGTCGTTAAAAAAGAGCCTTTTAAAGGTAAAATGCATGTAGAAAGAAATATTTTGGCGTAAAAATGTTTTAGGAAAAAAGTAGTGGTATTCAAGAGATTTTTAAGAAGAAATGTATTCTGTTAAGAGCATTTTAGTAAGTTATTTATTGTGAATTTATTTTTTTAGGTTTATGCCAGGAACCTTGTCTCAATGGCGGGCGTTGCATTGGGCCTGATCGTTGTGCCTGTGTGTATGGCTTCACCGGCAGGCGATGTGAAAGAGGTAAGTTTTAAAAAGAAATCTTTTATTGAGTGTTCTTCTTTGCACCAATTCCTGGCATTTAATAATATTCTAGTTCCACTTCTTTTTTCGTGAACTATATTCTAAAACATATTGCCAAAAATTCATGAATCAATGACCATTCAAAACTGTGGCACAGGCATTTAAATATAGATACTTTCTTGTCCTTGTAGGAAGAGATTGCTTATAATCTGCGTTTAACTTTCTTTCTTAAATCGAATACAATTAAGGGGTGTTGGAACCCCAAAATCTTCAAAAATCATCTTTTTGCATTTTCAAATTCTCTACACTTTTATCTTTCTAAAAATACCATCCTTTAATCTCTATAAAAATTAGAACTTGTAAAAAAATATAGTTTTAATGAGGATTTTTACATAAAAACGCGTTTTTCTCCAAACATCATTTTTTTATACTCGATGTACCTTTTCTCAGGAACTACTGCTTACAGGTATCTAAATTTTTTATGGCTTATTCATTAGGTTTCCTAATATTTACTGAAATGAGCTTTTTGTGATAAACTTAGAATAAAAAATTTTAAGAAGTTTTTTGTGTGAGAAAAGTGCTAAATTTTACTATGACTAACAAAATATTCTGTAAATTGTTCTAAAATTCAAAATGTTTCAAAAGCTCATTTCAGTATAATCAAATAGGTATACTTTAATTACACAAAAAATTTCAAGCGTGTATCTACAGCAGATTTTTGAGAAAAGATACATCGAAAAATGGCCAATTTAACATTGTCGGTATAGGGGTTTCTGATACCCCTTAAATATATTTCATTTTTCTGATATTTCATAATTGGGCATTTCTGTGCAAAAGTGATGTAATGAATGAAACTGAATAAAAGGATAAAGTACCGCACGTCGCTCTTTTTCTGGGCATTTACTAGGCAGCTCACAAAGGATGATTCATGATTTAGGAAAGCTTTCCGCGTGCTACACTGATGGTGTAAATAAACTAGATAAGTTAGTTTTAAAATATAAAATAGATTTAATTTCATTTGAGGCAGCTTTGGCTAATTTTAAAGTCTGAACAAGAATACATCATAAACCCAGCGATGCAGCGGAAAATTGTAGGTGCTGTCCTTTTTTTTTTTTTTTTCCACAGTTTAAAAATATTTTAGAAATGCGCAGCCTGTCATTTCGTAGGATTTTGTCTTCATTAACCCATATATGTTATTAGTATATCCTTTAATATCATTTCCATTTTTGTAAACTCCAAGTAGCGAATTAGTTACTATTAGTATTTAACTCTTTGAGGGGCAGGAAAAGACATTTAACTTTTTCAGCAAAACTCTTGTTTTATTTGATATATCAAGTGTTACAATAAAATTATTTGCGACAATTACTCATATTTTGTCCAAGACGCGTGAAAACAATGACCACATGTGATCAGTGTCAATGACCACCGCCCACAAAACGCATCCCTACAAATCAGTCTCTATGGTCTTTTTCAAGCAGAGTGCAACTTTGCATGTGCTGCATTCCCAAACTCTTCTTACAGGCTTTTTCTTTGTGCTGCTGAGTGCACATCGTCGTGATGGCTGATGCTTATTTTCTTGAAGAAGAATTGCTGCATTAACTACTGGCTTATGTTTCTTGATTGACATCTAGTAAGCTATAAGGGAACTTCAGAAACGGTCAGTCTTGAAAACCACTCACACGAGTGAGTAAGGCGTTCATTAGAAAAGGTGGTTATTGACCACCGCTCTTCAAAGAGTTAAATCTGTATTTAAGCGTGGAATTCTTGAGTTCAAGAAAGAACTTTTCGTAACTATTGCAAATTTGCTACTCTATTAGATATTTATCATACTGAACTGAATTATCGGCTTTAACTTTGCTGGCCGCACTTCCTTCTAAAAATATCAAGACCGAGCCAAAGCTGTTATTGGTTCAAATGACCGGACCCTTGCAATTTGATGCATTCGTTGGAAATGGCCAATTCTTATCGGTCATTTAGCTGTATCATCACCAAGATTTCCCTAGATGCACCACAGGCAGCGACAGGTTTTACATTCGTGAGAATGGACTGATTTTTGAAATTTGATGGAAATACGAAGGTCTTCCAGGCCTCTTTCCCTACCTCCAAACATATAAGGTATTTTCTCCCTCCTTTCTGCACACCTTCGTGACGTAATGGTAGCACACTCAGCACCTATTCCAGAGGTCCAGGCTCGCGTCCCGGCGAGGGCATTGCTCATTTTTCTTGTTACCTGCTTAAAAAACCTAATGGCTCTACAACTTCTTGAGATACTTTTCGGTTCGCTAGCTCTTTAATTGCTCCCATGCCGCATAGGAACTGTGCAATTACAAAACGTCTAAGCTTTGTCCGTGATTCGAACCCGATCCCAACAATACAGAATCCAGAAGAGCTAACTACTACAACGAATGATCAGGACTGAATTATAGCCCTGATATCTGCTTCCTAGACAGTGAGCTCCGGGGTGCTTGTGCATCATGCCTGGACAAGTGGTCAACTTGTCGCAGGGCCCCCGGTGCTTAGTCTGCAAGTGAATTTGTTACTCATTTTATCGACCCACTCAAGGGATGAAAGGCTGAGTCAACCTTGCCCAACCCGGGAATCGAACCCTGTATCTGTGATGCTGCTGCGCTCCTCACTAGCCACTGCGCCACCGGGCCTTTATTGATTGCAGTTCACAGTATTAACATTAGACAACAGTTCTCAACATTAGACTTATGCAGAATCATGGATAAATTTTTAAGTGGGGATAAACGAGTATTGAAGCACCAACAAGTGCACAGACGAGCGTGCTTCCAAAAGTAAAATCTTCAAAATATCGCAAGAATACTTATATTTTAGGCTTACGCGTACATAAGTAAATGAAGAGCAAAAGCCTCTGTGTGTTATTTGTTCAAACATTTTGGCTGCAGACAGTATGAAATCCAATATGTTTGAACGACATTTGGAAACGTTTCAATGAGTACGTTAACAAATCCGAGAATTCTTGGAATTAAAATTAAAATAATTTTTAAAAAAGCTTTTTATGGAAAGAGAAAGCATTACGTTCCTCTCTCAAAGTTTCATATAAAATAGCCAGATTTAAAAATTCTCACACCATTGTTGAAGAGCTTATTTTGCCATCTGCAACTGAGATTATAGAAACTATGCTTAGAGATTGTGCAAACAATTGCAACTTATTTCAAAGGATACTATTATCCGTCGAATTGGTGATATAGCTGAATGTGAACAACATCACTTCTCGAGAAGTTAGATGACAAATTGTTTCAATTCAGCTTGATGAGGCAATAGATAGCAATAAAGATGTTATTTCCATTGTTTGTGTTCGTTTTAGTGATGGTATGTTAACACTAGAAGAACTACTTTTCTACAAACCAACAGAATTGAAAGCAACAGCAACGGCATTATTTACTGTCTTAAAATAATTTTATGAACAAGACAAAGCGTGAAACAATTGCGTCGTAATGTGCACCGCTGAGGCTCGTTAAACATCTGGAATATTCCAAAATATACCAGTACTTACGAAACAAAAATCTCCGCGATGTATCTGGGCAAACTGCATGATCCATGGAGAAGCTCTGGCTTCTAACAAAATAAGTTCTCATCTGAATATTTTACTAATGACGGTTAGAATCGTAGTAAATTATATAAAAATGAGACCCCTAATATCAAGAATATTTTGTTCACTTTGTAAAGATATGTGTGCAGTACATTCAGCGTTATATTTTATTTTGATAAGATAGTTATAACATGGGAAATGTTTGCAATGTGTTTATGAATTAAGAGATGAAATCCCCTTTAAAGCAGACGGGAAGTCAGAGGTTTTCAGACGGTATATTGGTGATAAAAATCAAGCTACGTTGTAGACATATTTGAGAAATAAATTAAACATCTTGAATCATCAATTCCAAGCAGAAAATGCACATATGTTAGATGAGAGGGATAAATGTTAAGGCTTCTTATAAAAAACTGAAATTGTGGAACAGAAATTTAAAGCAAAAAAATCTAAAAGGGTTTCCAAATGTGGATGAATTTATTAAAACTCAGAAGGCTGAAGAACAACATGTGATAGTTGTTTTTGTAACCATTAAAAATCATTTAACCGAGCTGGCAGAGAATTTCGAAAAGTACATTTTTGTTAACGGCAACTTGGGTAGCAAGTAACTAGAATGCGTTAGAGATCCACTTCAAAATACTCTTTCAATTTCTGAAGAGGAAATCTTCATAGACGTCACGGCAAGTGTCGAAATCAAACAGCAATTTAGTTATAAACAACTCTTTGAATTTTAGCAGGGGTGGAAGAAAAGTTTACTGCACTGAAAGTTAATATTTTAAACGTCTTACCTTTGCGAAACTGGATTTTATATGATGGTTGCTTTGAAGACAATATATAAGATCTCAGCTAAATATAGAAAAAGAACTCATAAAAGTGTATTTCAGATGTTAAACCTTTCTTCAAAAACCTTTGCTGTGCAAAATAGGCCCAAGGAAGTCATTAAAAATTCTTAAACTTCTTTTTAATTAAGCACTGATAAGTTAATTATTAAATACATTGTGCAGCACTGATACAGTCCTATTTATAAGTTGTTGCTGTTGCTTATGCTCAATTGTTTGACAGTAATAAAGCAAGTAATAAAGCCCAATGCCCACGAAATTCCTCGTGGCCAGGAGAGCAAGATTACGTATGTCATTGATAACAACTTTTTGTAAGTGCATTATATCAGTGTAAATGTGTATTTTATTTTTTATTATGGAAGATTTTATTTTGTTTTGTTTTCTTTTTCCTTTCAGTAACTTCGCTTTTCCGTTTCGATATGCTCGCGCTCCCCATTTAGTGTTATCATGCCTTCCTAAGGAAGCGCACCCTACAGATTAAGAAATGCTTTTTTTAAAGGAATTTAGTTTAAATATTTTGAAATGCCTTCTAAAGATTCGGATGCAAACCATAAAATTTCATCCCATTTGCACTATTTTCTGTTGTTGCAAAGAAATATCAGACTAAG